TGAGTGAAATTCTAAACTCTAACTGAAGTTTCAACTTTAAGCTTCATGATGGGATTTTAAAACTCTTCATCTCTATCCTAAACACGTGATATTTGCATCTGCCCCTCACATAGCATGATCTTCAGCTGTTTTACTGGAACAAACCTCGGATAGTGCACAAAATCAAAAAAATGAATCAGAAAAGGCACAGATTTTACGAGTAAGGGGTAAAAATATCAAAGTGCTACAGAGCCCATATTTTACTTGCACAAGAATGAAGATCAGCACAAGATAATATGACCTACAAAAACATACTGTCAACATCTCATGAAACTTTAAAACAGGCAGATTTTCTGTGAATAGATCAAAAAAAAAAGTTCTTACAACAAATATCCACTGCCATAATGAATTTCAATGTTTCTACTGATCTACAATAGAAAATTCAGTGAACCGTTTGCTACCTGATGTCCTATAATATCTGTGGAAAGTTAGGGTGTTGCCCTGTGATCAGTTTCTATCTTCACCACTCTGGGATCTGAAGCAAGTCACCTAACCTCTTGGAGCTCTAGATCAATGAGTCTGACACTATTGCAAGAATTGAGCACACTTTCCCAAATGAAAGTCTTACACATACAAAATTCCTCAACAGAATGCAAGTTTATCATATTGGACCCTATTCATCTCCTCTCCCTGACTGACTAAACGAGATTAAGGATGACACTTTATGAGGCTTACAGTTATTCAAAGGTATCAACCTCCATTTCTCAGTTGAGGGGTCTGTAAATGTGATTAAACAGTTATCAATGCTTTCCTGGGCTAACATTGTGGATCCAGCAATTTATACTTAATTTCTTTCCCTCCTGCAACCCCACTAAAATACAGTAGGCTCATAAAGGACTAGGAAAATAGAGAAAACAAAAAGCAACAATTCACAAGTAGAAGAGCAGATGAACAAGTCCTGTTGCAGCATTCCAACATGATTTTCAGAATCCTAAAGGGACGTGGACAATCACTCCCAGGTCCTCTGATCTTGGGTTAGGTTGCAGGTGGGCCAGCTGAGAAAGCTTAGCTCTCTATAGAATCCTGTCTCCACTCCATGCACTAGAGCAATCTCCTTCCCAAAACTCTGGAAATTTTTTTCTCTGGGCAATGTAATACAGAGGCTCTCTGCATCGAGGCAGTGCTAAACATAAGGAACAGAGAGGTAACTGTCTTTAAATGGGGATTTGTTGGCTATATGCACACTGAAAGCACAGATCCTACAGTCATCTTATGCACCCTGGCTCCCACGGTATTGGTACTGTACCTCTAGGCAAGGAAAAAACCCTTTCCTGGGGGACTGGGGTTGTGCCTCATGGTAGTGCACTCATATGGCATGTGGGAGGCACTAGGTTTGATCCTCAGCACCACATAAAAATAAATAAATAAACTAAAGGTATTGGGTCCATCTACAATTT